TTCTTCTTCAACTACTTCTACAATGTCATGCATAGTCTTCAGAAGAACTTATGTGATCCTAGGATAAGGCAATGGCTTTATGAAACAATATTTGTTTGGAATGAGTTCTTAACTTGCATAATCCGCCATCAACTCAACAATAGTCTATAAACAGTTGCATTGGTTTATGGCTTCTTTAAACAAGTATTCAATATTTTAATGCTTCTTTCAATTAGGCAGCAAAATTTCGTTCTATGATTTTCTTTTCCATTTGGACGTATGCCTCTTTTGCTGAAATTCCACTGTTCTTTGAATTACAGGGCATTGTAGGACATGAATGCCATGGGTGAGAGAGGGAGAAGTAGAGGCGTCGAGAGACTCTCCTGGAAATTTCAGAGATTTGAAAGACCTTTTTGTGGATCCCAAAATTGGAGGTAAGTTTGATGACACTCTTCGAAGAAAGCTCAATTCATCTTAAGAAATTATGAAGCAGTTGTACCTTCTACAGAGGTTGGTTAGACTCCTATGAAATGAAATTATTTTCATTTTATTTTTGAAGACATTCCAAATTAGCTTATCTTATTTCCATTGCATTAATAATGCGCCTTTTGTATGTTATGTTATGTTATATTTATGGCTTATTCAATCATTATGGATATTTTGTGCATCCAGATGTTATTAGGAACAATATGAAGGATTATTTGTTTTCTTTGTTCATATGTTTATTGTGGGACTTGGATGTGCCTTTATGTTTGCAAAGGTATAGATGAATCATAGCGTGGGAAACAAAGTTGTTCTTGCATCCATGACAGACCACAATAGGTAACTGTGTCGTGCTAGATTTCAAACAATAATAAATATCTAGCGACAAAAATTTTGTTCTCTATTTCTTTTTCTTTTTGCAGTTTGAACTATAGTTCTACCCATTCCAAAAAAAAAAAAAAAAAACAAGAACTATTGTTCTGGGTGGCTAAAGCTATTCTTACTGAAGTTGTCATTTTGTTTTTCGGTGAATGACTTTAAGTCATTATTTTGAGACATCAATTCTTACTTCCCCACTATAGAGTTAGCCGCATTTTGGTTTTGATGGTGACAGAACTTAAGGCAATTAAAGCTTGTTAAATCTTTGAATAGTTTTTTCTGTTGCATGAAATATTCCCGTATGTGTGCCTCACAATTACTTCTCTATGTAGGGATACTACAAAGTACCGTCTGGTAGTGAAAACAAATATGGTCAGCCACTGGCTCAAGTACCTGACCCGCACATATCTAGGGGAAGTTACCCTATTTTTTGGTTGTTAATTGCTTGTTCTTTATGCAATTCTTTCTTCATATTTTTTTTATTCGTTTTGTTACTTTGTGTTTGCTTAGTCATGTCATTTTAATTATGACTCAAAATAGAATGCAAAATTTCAAACAACTTGTCTCTGTTGGAGTTTCTACTTTCTTTAAAGCTTCCTTTTCCAACTCTAAGTAGAAACTATAAGAAATTTTAATGATTTGTTTATGAAATTTAGAACACCTAAATTACAAGGTTTAGAACATATATGTATTAGTCATGATACTCGATTTCCCAATTTCTTTCTTGAAAGGGCAAGGTTTTTCTCTCCTTATTCAAAGCAATAGACGGCTCTTAATGGGACAAATCAAATTAGGGTTATGAAGTGGAAAATGGACCTAGCCTACTATTTATAATGAAATCTAATGGGCTCTCTCACTATGGGCCACAATTAGATTAAGGTCTATACTTAGCCGTCTCAATCACATCAATTAAAAGATGTACATAACCCATCAAAATAGATCACTTAATAATATTTGGCTCATCTCATTGGACCATAAATTCAGTCCGTTTTTCACAAACTAAAATTAACTATCAATTAATGTGCAGTCCAATATAGGAAAAATTTCAACATTCTTCCACTTGGACAACACTAATTGTAGTCATTCAGAAATAAAATAAAATTATATATATATTTTTGAAAAATGACTCTCGGGCTAATCAAACAAAACTCAATGTGGCCACAATTTAAAAAAAAAAAATATGGTCCTGAGACAACATTTTAAACACAATCTGGTCCAATAAAATTACTATTTTCGAATCATGGCGGCCTTTACATCTTTTATTGACATAAGACCAATTCATGATTACAAAAAATAATAATTTTATTGACATGGATCAAGATGTGGTAGTATAGCAAGAAAATAACATCTCAATATGTGATCTGATAAACACGTTATTTTCATTATCAATCCTTCAATGGATTTCTCTTTAACAACATGTTTCAACAATAAGTTAGAGAAATCTATTAATTTCAACAATAAGCTAGTATGTCTCTAAACTTAAAATCACAAGATTTTCTCAAATAGTGTAATTAGAGATATACGCAATTGACAAAACAATCATACTTAAGACATACACCAAACCTTAAGATTTTGTATAAAATGACATGTCATAAATGTGTACACATATAACATAGTAAAAATATCATGCTAACAATAATAATAATCATCAAATATTTATTGTTCATCAAATAGATGTATCACAACCATAATGAGTATCAAATATCACATATGGAATTAAATCAACACTAAAGTTCTTAACACATAAAAAATTCCTACTAACCAAGTACATTAAAAGACCCAAAATACTCATGTTATCAACATATTTTTTAAAAGTTATAGGTCTCAGTCCCTTGGTTAAAAGATTAGCAAGCATTGATTCTATATCAATATGTTCAATCACATTGTCACATTACTTCACAAGATCCTTAACAGAAAGATATTTAATTTTCATATGTTTAGACTCACTAGAATATTTGTTGTTATTTGAGAAAAACATAGCTGCACTGTCATCACAATAAATTGTTAATGGTCTAGAGATGGAATCAACAATCACAAGTCCTGAAATAAAATTCCTTAGTCATATAACTTGTGTTGCAGCTCCATAACATACTACAAATTCAGCTTGCATAGTGGAAGAAGCTGTGAGAGTTTGTTTAGCACTCTTCCATGATATTGGTCCTCCAGCTAACATGAAAATATATCCTGAAGTGGATTTTAAATCATCCCGACACCCAGTAAAATTTGAATCAGAGTAACCAATCACCTCAAGACTATCAACTCCTATAAACAAGCATGAAATTTTTGTTCTTTGCAAGTTTCTCATAGCTTTCTTAGTCGTCACTCAATGATCTAATCTTGATTTGGAAAGATATTTGGCAAGAACACTAACTGCAAAAGCAATGTCAGGCCTGGTACAAACCTATACATACATTAAATTGCCAACAGTACTAGTATAAGGTATATTCTTCATAAAGTCCTCCTCAATATCATTTTTGGGACATTGGCTTAGACTGAATTTATTACCTTTCACAATAGATACATCCCCAAACTTATAATTATGCATATTAAATCTTTCAAGCACACGATCTATATATAGTCTCAACAACCCACGACACCTATTCTAATGAATCTGAATGCGTAACACAAAAGATGTTTCCCAAGATCTTTCATGTCAAATGTTTTGCACAACAATTTCTTAATTTCATGAAGTAAGTCCATATCATTACTTGCAAGTAAAATATCATCAACATAAAGAACAAGAAAAATAAATATGCTCCCACTAACCTTAAGATATATGCATTGATCCATCTTATTCTCAACAAAACTAAGAAAACTTACTATCTCATCAAATTTCAAGTACCACTGACAAGAAGCCTATTTGAGATCATAGATAGATTTCTTCAACTTGCACATTAAATATTCTTTCCCATTTTCCTTAAAACCTTCAAGTTGCATCATATAAACTTCTTCACTAAGCTCACAATTCAAGAAAATTGTCTTCACATCCATCTGGTGAAGTTCTAGATCAAAATGAGCCACCCTTTTGTTACCAATCTAAACCTTAAAATTTTCAATTTTACCTTTGGAGTCTATCTTAGTTTTAAACACCCATTTGCAGCTAATGGATTTACATCTCTCAAGAAGTTCTGCAAGCTCTCACACTTCATTATATGTCAAAGAATGCATCTCATCATTCATGACACCTACCTACATATTAGACTGATGACAAGTAATGACATCATGATATGTTACATGATCAAATAATATCACCAATATCATAATCACTTTTCCCAAGGTATACATAATATTCATAAAAAATAACAGGTCTTCTTGGTCTTGTAAACTTTTTCAAGAAAATTTCAGTAGTAAGCTCTAAGAGCTGAGGAACCTCAATAGGAACAGAAGGTTCAATTGTAGGAACAAGAGGATCAACAACTGGAGCAGAGAAATTAACAATAGGAGTAGGTATAATATTCTCTTGCACAATAGGTAAAGGAATATAAATAAATTTATCTTGTTCATGCACACTAATAGGCTATGAGCAACAAATATCAGCAACATCAAGCTCCAGAAATTTTGTTGTTAATGACTCAACAATTTTAGTACCATATGTAGGATAATAGAACTGGTATCCTTTAGAATGTTCTGGGTAACCAACGAAGAAACAACGAGTAGTTTTAGGATCAATATTTTTCTCAAAAGGATTATAGATTTTGACTTCAGTAAGACAACCCCAGACTCGAAAATGGTTAAGGCTTGGTTCCTATTGGTCCATAATTCAAAATGTGTTTTTGGAACAGATTTGTTAGGAACTCTATTAAAAATGTATAAAATCGTTTTAATGGATTCTCCCCAAAGATAATTAGGCAAGTTACACTTACTCACCATACTCCTCATCATATTTTTAAGGTTACGATTACGTCTTTTAGCCACACAATTATGTTCGAAACTACCAAACATGGTATATTGGGCAATAATCCCACAATCTTGTAAATATTTGGCAAACGATATCAAATGCTGTTCAAACACGTCATGTTTGTCATAATACTCACTATCACGGTCAAACCTAACAATTTTGATGACTTTCCATAATTGTTTCTCTACCTCGGTCTTGAAAATTTTAAACTTTTCAAGAGCATCTGATTTTTCATTAATTAAATAAATATATTCATAACAAGAGAAATAATCAATAAATGTAATAAAATATTTATTATCACACAATGTACGTGAATAAGATCCACTGATGTCAGTGTGAATAATTTCTAAAAAATCTAGACTTCGAGTTATATTTTTCTTATTAGTCTTGGTGAATTTATCCCTAATGCAGTCAACATAAATTTCAAGGTCTCCAAAATCAAGGGGAGGAAGAATATCATTTTTTATTAATCTTTCCATTATTTCTCTAGAAATGTGACCCAAACGTTTATGCCACAGCTGTGAAGATTTTTTTTTAATGAAAGGTATCTTAGATACAACATTCACAATATTTGAAAGACCATATTCATTATTGACAGCCAAACATATACTGTACAAACCATCTGATAAAACACAATAACCAACAATTTTGGTATTTAAAAATAATTGAGTTTTACCATGACTAAAATTAAAACAATATCTAATTTTATCAAGCAAAGAAACTGAAATCAAATTCTGCTTAAATGACGGTACATAAAAAGTATTTTCTAAAATAAGTTGAAAACCTCTGTCTATATTCAATCTAACAATTCCTATAAACTCAACATGGACTTCATTATTATCTCTTATTTTAAGTTTGGCTTCCCTTTCACTTAGCTTTCATTTGCTTGTGAATCCCTGCAAAATCATGACAATATGAGCAGAAGCTCTATTGTCAATCCACCAAGAATTTAATGGGACATTAACTAAACTGAATTCAAAGCAAACAAAGGCTAGTGAATTACCTTCTTCTTTGCTCTTCTTTTATAACCAAGACTTGAATTGGGTGCACTCACTTTTCTTATGACTTTTTTTTTACAAAAGTAACACATGACATCTTTAATAGCAGCCGTAAGACCTCTCATATTCTGACCAGTACCATGTCTTTTGAAATCTTGACCATTCTTTGAAGCATTATGATTAGATTTTCTATTATTTCCCTGATACCGACTTTTGAAACTAGATTTAGACTGAGAAATAAACAAGGAAGTTTCACTCTTTTCTTTTCTAAGTTTTTCTTCCTCAGAATCACACTTGGAGATAAGGTCATTAATTGTCCAAGACTCATTTTGGTTGTTGTAGGCAGTTTTGATTTGACTAAACTCAGGAGGCAAAGAGTTAAGAGTGTGATGAACAATGAAATCATCAGAAATAACAATTTTGAAAGCTTTGAGTTTGGTTTGAACATGGACCATTCTAAGGTTATATTCCCTAACACCACCTATATTGTCATATTTCATACTCGTTAATTCATTCATTAGGCCCCCCCAGCTTCAGTCTTATTTGATACCTTGTATCTCTCTCATACAGCGGTGAAGAACTCCTTGGTATTCTTGGTTTCAGGCAAGCCACTCATAAGGTGTTCAGAGTTAGACCTTTTCATAGTAATCATATTCAGCCTATTAGATTTATTCCACTTTGCATAAAGGTTTTTTTCATCGGATGAACTCTCACTAGTAGATTTAGCAGGTTCATTCTTTTTCAAAGCAAAATCTATATCATCAATTTTTAGGACAAACTCAATATTTTGCTTCCATCTCTTATAATTAGAACCAGTCAAGACTTAAATGTTGGCATTATTACTATTTCCAGCAAAAAAGACTGTTCAAAGCAACAAGAATATAAACAATTAGCAAAATTGTGGCCACATTGAGTGATACTACAAAGTGATCATCTGATTGACCTGATCAAAGGCGTTAAAAAAAGGTTGAACCTAGGTGTGTGTCAATTCAAACCTAGGTGTGTGTCAATTTTTGTGCTAGGTTGTATTAAAACATTTTAGAATTTAAGCATTATGGGTATTTGCTTCACTCCTTCCACTGGAACGAAATCACATTTCCCATATGATTATAAGATTAACCCCAAAAGATTAAGCTGCATAATTGAATCTGTTAACCTCTTCGGGCTATTCCTGTGGACTTTGATCTGGGATTGCCCAGAGCATGGATCTTATGGCATAGGCCATGAACCTAGGGGATTTGTCCGGTTTTCAAGAGGTGCAAATACCCTCGTAAGCCCTAGAAGAAAAAAAAAACATAAGTCCAATAGAAGGACATGAATTTTTTCAATGAAACTATTTATATTGTCATCATTAATCTACTATCAAGTCCCCAGGTACCCTAACACTCATCACACATGGAACAATTCCTTGTTGTGGTACGTAAATTTTTTTTAAATTCGCCAACAAAAAAGGGATGCAACCACTTTACATGCAAGCTATATACAAGGAGCCAAGCTAAGTAGGCAGCTACGCATCAAAGCTGCTATTAAACATTTGCTGAAGTAGCAGCTGTGTATATGTTCCAAACTCTTTTTGACATGGGGGTTTTCTTTACAGGTATGATATCCAATTAGGGGTGCATGATCCCTATGAAAATTTTGTCTCCGTAATCAGGTTGTACAAGAGAATGTGTGCCCAAGATCACCAGGTGGGGGAGATTGAAGCATCCATGGCTGCCCAACATACCCATAGCATTGACTATTGTTCATCCAAAGATCTTGAGAAGATGACTCCAGATGAACTTTTTGAGATATCCAGATCAAACTATAGATGCTAGTGTTTGGATTCAGGGGTGTGCACACTTTGATGTATTCCCTTGCTCTGGGAAACCAGTATTCATCAATACATTTCATTTGAGTATGGGTGTTTGTATAGTTATTTTCTTTTACTAGATCGTGCACACGTGCCACACACGAGATTTATATTAAATGTAATTCTGATTTTAAATTTTTGTCATATTATTTTGGTTTTTGAAGATTGGACTGTATAAATATGTGACGATCATATTTTATTTGTATTTAACTTATTTACTAAACAAGGTGCAAAGTCTTATAAAAAAAAATGTGGCATTAGCAACACCTATGTAGTGCCTATTAGCCAAATGTAGTTAACAATGTTTTATACATATTTCGTCGTAGAAATTGTCATTGTTTTTAGTAAAATTACATTTTCAAAAATCATCCTAGACTAATACATACCAAGGGAAAGCCTTTATCTACTTCTCTTTGATGAAAGTTTTATTTTTTGGCCTAATTTTTCTTAATGTTGATGAATGATCAATTCAACTTCTGGTCAAAAAATATTACCCAAAACAATTGAAATTTGATAAATTTCCTAAGAGAAACCACATTGTAATGTGTCTCCATAGCTCATTGTCTTGTATCATCAACAGACATTATTAAATATCTATATCTTATTAGGGGCAAAACATCAATACAGTCATGCAAATGCAAGGCTATGAATGCTTAATAAAAAAGGGGGAAAAATCACAAAAAATGTCAATTATAACTATTTGATATTTAACTCAACTAAGCAATTTCTTGAAATTTAATTGAACATCAAATACCTACAATGAATGTTATTGAAGACAATTTTGTCGAGCTATGTATGTCAAGTGAACTAAAGAAATATAATCATTTTTCAAACACAGGTCAGTCAAAAAAATCAAAATTTTCTGTCCAGATTAATGATTTTCTATCTCAACCTTTGTCTGAGAAGCTCAAGTCTTCCAACTTCCCTACATCATTACTTAGAATTGGCCCTTGGGAGGTAAAAAGTTTATACTAATGCAATGAAAATTAAATTGAAGTTGCATATATATATTTTTTTAGTTTATTTTTCTTAGATTGTGTTTTGGAAAATACTTGATGAATACAAAATTTAGCAGTGAATTTTCAGGCATGAAGGTGATTTGATTTTAGGAAGGGGCATTGAAGAGTAAGATTGGAATACAATGAATACAAGGTAATTGATGAACTCATGTGATTGAAATCATATGTAATTAAAAAATAAAAGTCAAAACTTACTTTGTATTAGTTAGTATCTCAAGATATATATTTTGATAGTTTTGTCGTTTTGAATGCATGAGTATCTTGATTTGCTCTAATACATCAACAGCTACCCAATTTTAACTATACTCTATATAATAAACTGTTGCATATGTAGGTATGGTGTGGTGAAGATTCACAAGTATTGTCCAGTTGTAATGGTTGATAACTTTGAGACATTTGCTTCTAATCTTCATTTTAAGGTCGCGCTTTTTCAGACTATCATCACCGGCAAGACTCTTTGCAGCGAACCGTACGTAGCTCCAAATGCTACATGGCTTGCGGTGCATATCATCGAGGACTATATTTTTTTTTAGTATTTTCTTGTAGTATTGCTAAATTATAGGCAAATTAATTACTTTTTGACAAATAAAGAGTTTTAGTTGGAATTTTGTAATATCCATTGCTTGAGCACAAATAAGAATTACATAGTCTAGTGAATGTACATAAAATCTAACAACTTCAAAGTTCTTGATAAAACATAAAAACAAAAATTATAATTCACAATTATTCCACGTGTGCAACTACTAGTATTATTTAAATGTAATGTAATGTATGAGAGATTCTCACAACAATAATGATAAAAATACTCAATTATAAAAATAACTACAAATATAATAAATGATTATGTAATACTGAATTTTTTTTTCTTCTATCGTAGACAACTCCTTTTTTCAATATCATAATCAAAACTCTATTGAGATTTGTTTGATTGTACTGCATTTGATTGGATGAGAACAAAATAAAATAGATGGGGCGTGTTTGGTTTGCGATTCGAAAGCTATTTTTTGTTCTCAAAAATTTAAAAACACCCAAAATTTATTTGCTTAACATTTTTGTTCTCAAATTGTTGAAAAAAAATGAAATTTGGAACACAAAAATAGAAAAACGAAGACAAGCTAAATGAGATCACGGCTTCGAGTTCTCTTAGCAGCAAACATCGTCTTTTTTTTTTTCCTTCCTCTCTCTCTCTCCACTTTGCCCAGCGTCTTCTTCTCTAACGTCTTCATTGTGTTTTTTTGATGTCTTCACTACCTATCTCTCCTCTCTTTCCACTGTACTTCAGATTTGCCCCCTCTCTCTTTCGCAACAACTACAAATCTGTGTGGGTCTGTGTTTGCATGTGTGTCTGTGTTTTGTGTCTGCATGTGTGTGTGTGTTTTGTGTGAGTATGTATGCGTGTGTGTATGTATGCCTCTATATGTGTGGCTGTTCTTGTTCTGTGAGAATATAATGTGGAGAGAGAGAGAGGAGAGAGGAGAGAGAAGAGAGGAGAGAGAAGAGAGGAGAGAGAAGACTCTAGACGGTGGAGTGTCTACCAGAGAGAGAAGATACATAAGTGTGATTTTTTTTTTTTGGTTAAAGTAATAAGTTAAAAGTTAATTTTGTGGATTATTGTCAAAACAGATTTTATAATTTTTTATTTTTAAAACTACTTTCAAAAATATATAATCAAATAGGTTTTGCAATTAAAAAAATTTTAAAAATATTTTTTTAAAAATATTCTTAAAATTTATTTATTAATATTATTTATTGTGACGTAAATCAAACGGCCATTGCTTTTCGTAAAAATCCCAAAAAGCTAAAGGACAAACATTAAATTTTGGTGTTTGATTTTCTGTAGGAGTTAAAGACGTTTCAAGATCCTTTTGGATTTTTATTCAGACACAGAGAGGACAAGGAAAAGTGCTTTCGTAGCTGCTTACATAGCAGGATAAATTTTGTTGGTCATGTGTGCTTGAGATTAATTTTTTCAAACGAGTTGCGTGTATAAAATTCCACCTAGTAGAGGGATAAAATGAAAATTTTAAGTTTGATACATTTTTATTTTGTTTCACTTTTTTTCTGATATATTAAACAACTTAAAATTTATCTTTTCAACTTTCAATCCATCGTATCAAACAAAAAAAAAGAAAAAAAAATCTATTTCTTTTTTCGAGGGATGAAAAGTTATTTCCTTCTAATTTTTATTTTTTTTTATTTTTTCATTTTTTCTACCAAATAAATCATAAGATAAGGTATCATGAAAATCGTCAAATCACAATTCTCAATCCGGCTTCTAACACGCAGTAGTAAGGGATCTCGGAATTTACCTTAAAAGAGAATAAATTTATGCAGCCATGAAAAACGTGGTCTCCGTGTAAATTAAAGTGGGTCTCGATGTAAAATACTGCTACTCTTTATGTCGGTCAAATAAAAATGGTTTCTTGACCGATGAGTGTTCTATGATAATATGCAGGTGTCGGTCAAGTGACAAAAGACACATTGTATAGTCTTCGGGTGTGTGTGTGTGTATGAGTACCTATGACACTTCTATTTTTAAGTAGACATGTTTAAGTGTTCTCTGATAAAAAAAAAAATAATATATATATATATATATATATATATATGTAAGGGGTAGAATCCTCCATTAAGGATTTTGACTTGACCTGGGTTAACTCACGCGGGCGACCCCCCAGTAGCCTTTACCTCTCAGTGTCCGCAGGAACTTCGTCCCACATCGACTGAGAGTCATCTCCTTTCCTCGTATATAAGTCCTTACATTCAGAAGAGGAGGTACCCACTAACGACCTTATCAAGTGACCGTGCACGACATGGCAACCACACTTTTTGTATTCTAGTTTGCCAATGGCCAAGCCATCAGTGGTTGGGACCACCACGTGATACATAAAATATGTGAATTGTATAGCCCGTCTCTTCACCTACAATCATATGAAATGACAAGTCATATTTTGTCACATCGGGTCATATCAGTAAATCTCCCAAATCACTCTTCTTTGGTTCACTATAATTACTAAAAATGTTTTTTCATTGATCTAATTAATAATTATCATTCCATGATAACAGTACTGATCAATTTACATAAATATTAATTAATTTTTTATTTGGTCAAATTAAAGATAGATAATTTTCACTTGAATTAGAATATTAATTAAAAATAAAATTTTTATAATATAATACTAAAAAAATACTAAAATTCAAACTCAAAAAATCTATTAATTAGTTATTTTCAAAGCTAGTTGGGGTCGGTTGGGACAATTACAAATACAAGAAAAATAACAAAATGTGTTTATTAAATTGTCATTGAAACGACATTATTGTCTTCGGGTTGTCTAAAATTACTCAATGCTCCCACCAAACTACATTTAAATTGTCAATGCTTTTTACATAAATACGAGTAAATATTTAATATAATAGTAATATTATATTATTATTATTACGTGCTATTATTTAGTTAAAAAATTAAAAATAAATGAAATAAACTCCACTATTTTTATAATTACCTATAATTACTGTTTCCAAAACACATAACATTAATGGATTCAATTTATCTTAATTTTTATCTTGTAATTGATCGATAATATCATGCGACGGCGGTAATATAGTACGACTGTTGCAACAAATATTTTCTTCGTAAATCCGTGACATGAACTGAACGCTCAAGGCTACTTTTCTCTCTCTCTCTCCATCCATCGGAGAGTTCAAAGAGTGAGGCAAGAAAGCACTCAAGAAATGGCAAGTAACGGCAGTGCTGAGGATCCATCAGCACCCTTGTTAGACTATTCATCCTCAACACCTAAAGATGAAGATGAGCAACAAAATCAAACTCTTTCTATGAAGGTGTGGATCGAATCGAAAAAGCTATGGCGCGTAGTGGGCCCAGCAATCTTCAGTCGCATCGCCGCCTACTCCATGTTCGTCATCACCCTAGCTTTTGCCGGCCACCTTG